AAAACGACGCCGAGAACTCCTGGAAAACAATTGCAGGAAGGAAACTAGCCAGAGGCAGAAATTAATTGAAAAAGAAGTAAAAATAAGGGAGAAACAAAGGGCACAGGTTGGTGGTCAATTTGGATGGATGTGAGTAGGGTGCCCCCTGGTGGTCAGTCTGTAGAGGCTGCCTTCCACCGCACCTTGAACCTGACAGTAATGCCTAAGAGAGATGTGTGCTAATGGGCAAATATGTGTGTATATTAAAATTCTGTGGAACCGAGTAAGCAAATAACATTTTTCTCATGTTGTATGGAAAATTTTAGTGGAAGGGCACTTTTTCTTTTCTCCAGTTTTGGAGTATATTTAAAAGGAGAATAATTTTTGAGCAGCTTTGAAAAGTGCAGCTGCTTGATAATAAAAACAAATAGAACCCAAACTAAAACCTTTGGTTGGAGAAGGGAACAGGTTCTATTTTTGTCCTCCCACTGCCTTGGTGGTGCGGTTAGTGTTGGGGGCTTATTTCCTCCAGCTGTAGTATTATCCCCTGTTGACCTTTGCTATATCAAACATGTGCACAAAATTAGTGAACTCAAGAAAAACTACCCATTTTGTTTGGCTTCCTATCTTGGTCATTGTAGAATTTGAATCTCTGTTCTTGTCACCAGTGCTTCTTGCGTAACATTTTCTGAGGAATTAAAATAAAATTTTAAGTACCATATAATTATAAAAGTTCAAATACATTTTGCCATGATTGACTAGACAGAATGGTAAAAGGTACTTTTTCCCTTATTCGTTCTATTTGCTGGCATCTTAATAACATAACAAGCACTGTCTTTAAGACTTAGTGTGCATTGGGATATCAGTAAGTCTGTGATATGTCCACAAAGTACCATAGGATTGATGGCGAACTACTGAAAGCAAAAAGGAAAGTGGAACTCGTTCATCTAATTCACTGTACCAAACACCTGTCAAATTCTGATCCACAGCAAAAGTGTGTCTGTTTGGTATCTGATCCCCAACCTCAAAGCACAATTCTATTTTAATGTCAGTTGTACATTTTCCCTCAATATGTTTACATCATTTTCCCCAGAGCAAAGGAGTGGGACTATTTAATAGACTAAAATAAAACCCCATTTTAGAATGGTACCCATGGTGGCATGTGCTCCCAGATTAGATGAACGGCCACTCCCACCAAGGTGAAGTAGAGGACAGGTCTCCACTGCCTCCCTCTGCTCTGAGTGCTGGACAGCTCATTAGTTCCAGCTTTGATTCCACTTCTTGACTTATTTTAGTTCCGCTCTTCAAAATATGCATCTCCACCTTCCACTTCCATCAGAGAGTGTGTGTAAGCTGACAGGCACAACTTGGGGAGAGAGGTCTGTATGTGGAAGCTGTGTTTACTAATCAGTCCATCTTGTCATGCTCGGATGACTGAAGGGGAAAGGCTGTTAAGTTGTGGCAGGAAGCGTTAACAGAAAATTGATAGTGGAGGAATCCTCTCCATTTTTTGCATCTGCTCATTTCAAGCAATGCAATCTATCCGCTGAGTTTATTCATTTTTTTCTCCCCATATTGTGGCAGCCTTCTTAAAACACTAACCACCTCAAAGGCTCCCGATGCTAACGTTTATCTTAAGTTCTCACAACCACATGGGCATTTTAGAGTTTAGGCTTATCAGTTCATCTCCGCTTCTAAACATGTGTGATATGAGGGAAAGCTGTGGACTCTGGGTGAGATGTTTCCCCTTCCAGGCCCGCCCCCTTACGCGCTACCTGCCGGTCCGGAAGGAAGACTTTGATTTGCGGGGCCACGTGGAGACCGCCGGCCACAATATTGATACCTGTTACCACGTATCAATCACAGAGAAGACCTGCCGCGGATTCCTCATCAAAATGGGTGGAAAAATTAAAACTTGGAAGAAACGTTGGTTTGTTTTTGATCGGAATAAGCGAACATTCTCTTACTATGCAGGTGGGTGATTAAAAAAAATCCAAGTGGTATATTCAAATCAGGAACCTTCCCTAGAGAGCAAAGGCAACGATGTAAATGAGTAGACTGGTCATTATAGAACTAACTGCAAACGAACTTTGTAGATATACATTGTTTTATATTCAAAGTATATAGTCTGCATGATAGGAATTTCCTCTCTAAACATAATGAAATTGATAGGTTACTTTAAAAATGTGAATTAGTATGTTCTAGTTCTGAAATAAACTGAAATCAAATAAGTATTAAATGAAATGTGGAGGAGGGTCAAAATATTGTCTTATAAATCCTAAGGCACAAAGCCAAAAAAAAAAAATGGCTTGGATTTATTTATTTTGGGGCTTATGCCCTGTTTAAGTCACACACAATCAGGCAGCCTTGGATGGCAGACACTAACTACACACTTTATAAACTAGAACAGTCTGTTAAGCACAGAGTAAAACCCATCAGTGAACTAGGGAATAAATGAGTATTTATCAAGTGACAAATATTTTGGATGCTTTAAATGATGGATTAGGAGAAATCTATGCTACCAAATATTCCCAAAATGCAGGCATCCACTGGTGTAGAATTTAAAACCTCCACCTACTCTCCGATCACAATGAACACGTCCATTATCAGCACAGCTAAACTCTGCTCTCTTTTCAGCTGTAGTAGATGACTAGTGTCACACCAGAGGCTCTAGAGGGTCTCTGTTGGGGTGACTGTCACATTTGGAGCATTTTCAGCCATAGTAAAGTATAGCAGCATAATAAATTAAAAAATAACAGTTCAGTCCTTTGACCTATTGTGTGAGGTCAGAATATGTTTATGAAGGGAGGTGAGGTTGCATAAGAAGCACTAGCTATGGAGTCCCAAAGATGGCATGAGGATGAGGGGTACATAGCTTTCAGTTAGGATCTCTTTGGGTATGGTTTGTTAGTAGCCTCAGGAGCTTGTGTCCTGGAGCCAGTTTCCTATTTGTCTCTCTAGGGCCTTCTGGCCTTGGATTTTATAAGCAGCCAGAGATGTTCTCTCTTCAGTTAGTACAGTAGAAAAGATACCTATTTAATAAGAGGTGCTGGTTTAGTGTCTTAAGGCATAAATGAAATTTTGCTGTGTGCTAGTATCCACACACAGCCTCATAGAGAATTTTCCAAAAATAAACCGGGACCACGACCCTTCAGCTTGTCAGTGAGGCAAATGGCCTTGTCTGTGTGCAGGGACTGTGAGTGGGGTGCTGGAAACTGCAGGCTTAGCTCTTGGTTTTGTTCAGGACCCTAGCCTCTGTGCTTGGCCTTCTGCATATTAACTACATAGTCTTACGAGAGTCTCTGAAGTAACATGAGACAGAAAAATATGTCTGTAAATTAATGGGATAATGCCGCTGACCAAATGAATAACATCTTTTCACTATACAATAGCATTATTGATTCTCTTAACTAGCTCACAACGTGCTGTGAGGCCTCCTTCTTCAGGGGCCATCCTCATATATGCAGTGCCTGACCAATACTTTCATTCCCCAGTTTACTGTTTGCTTGAAACATTGACAAGATTTTACTTTTTTTTTAAAGGATTTATTTAGTTATGCATACAAGAGCTGGGGTACAGGCCAGAGGTGTGGGGGTGAGAGGATTCACCAGAGACAGAGTGGGGAACAAACAGGCAGATTGACCAAAGTACACTGCTGAGAGGAGCAGTGGGTGAATCAGGAGAGGTCTGCCATGCCATGTGGGTTGCTCCCTGGCCAGGGATTGAACTCATGCTGCAGAGGCTGTGAACATCTTCGTAGGTTGTATCTTAACCCCTTGCACCACCAGGGAGGCCCAAGATTTTACTTTTATCTCCAGATTTTATTTTTATATCTACTTTTCAGAAAACAAAGTATTACTTTATCCCCATGAATTATTATAGGATCCAATCTTTGCAGTAAGTGTTTGAGAGATACACTGACCTGTTTTACAGAAACTGGTGGAAACCCGCTGGACATTGTATTAGTTAAAATATTTCTTGCCAAAGAAGAAATAAATGAAATAAGTTAGGGAAACACTAGGTTAAATGCAATTAAACAGATTTATGTTCTGCCGAGCTTCTCAGGGCTGTTATTTTTCAAACTAGTTTTTTATTGTTGTTATTGGAAAAAGGCACATGCATTGGTTTAAAAAAGAAATTGAAACTGCAACAAAGGCCTTCATGTTGAAAGCAAGTCTCTTTCCCAAAACAGAAGGTCTGACCTTCTCCTACTGTTAAGCCTGAAATGCCCTCTAAGATTTTCTCTATTCATTTTTGTTTCTGTGTTTGTGTGTGTGTGTGTGTATTTTTCTTTAATATAGTTAGAACCAAATTATTCACTATATTCATGAATTTTTCATATATAATGGCGTTTCAAGATTTTTCTCTAAATAGCACAGGCAGCTCTGCCTGCAGAAGCTGTGTAGAGTCCATTGTGATCTGTGATTGCATCCTTCTTAAAGTTTAACAGCTCTTTTGCCCCTTGTGCTATAACAAACATAAATCCTTTTGTTCTTGCACAAGTGGAACTTATGTAATGAAGTTTTAGAAGTGTAATTGCTGAGAGGATTTTTGCACTTCTGTGTTTGTTTTAAAATTGCCTGCTAAGAGGTGCTTTCTTATTTGCTCTTCCACAAACAGGATATGATAGAGTGTCTTTGCATCCTCATTCCTGCTTTTAAAATTCTTTTATATGCTCACATGCACCATGATCTATACAGAGTTTAAATTATGGGATAGTTCAGGTACTTTATTACATCACCGAGCAGTGCTGTTTGTTAGGTGGGTTGTTTTGTCTTATGTCCTGTTTGGTGGTTTGAAAACAGTTTGGAAAATGCTGCATTGGAGGGATATCACTGACATATAACCACTGGGAACAGGGAAAAGAACGTGCTAGGCAAGGAATTTGATAAGAAAGAAATATTAGTGGACTATTATTTTAAATTATAAAAATCAGATAAAATACAAATAAAATACAAATGCAGATACAATACAAATTTCATTACAACACATCTACATGTTAATGTTTCTATCATAATGACAGCCTTAGAGAATACAGGGAAGTAATTTGCGTCACTGTCAACAGTGTTTATACTTTGTAGGCTAACTTGACGGTAGTTCTGGGTTATCTTTTTTTTTTTTTTTTAAAGATTTATTTATTGATTGATTGATACATACATACAAGCACTGGGTACAGTCAGAAGCGTGGGAGGCGAGAATTCACCAGAGCCAGAGCGGGGAGCAGAGCAGGCAGAAGGACCGAAGTACACTGCTGAGGGAGCAGCGGCGGCAGGAGAGGTCTGCGCACCATGTGACCCTCCTCCGGTGGCCGGGGAGCAGCCGGGATCGAACCGGCGCTGCAGAGGCTTCGGGCAGCTTCGCAACCCAGCGCTCAACCGCTGCGCCACTGGGGAGGCCCTCTGGGTTATCTTTTGACTGTGGATTTGCTGAAGAGCCTTGGGCAAAGTCGCTCTAAAGTTTGGGCTGATAATTCCATTCTTTTTTCCCCTTTAATTAATACAGAACCTGGCTGATGCACAACCTAGATTATCTAAATTAATCTTAGATAATATATAAATATTTTAATAACTACAGTAAAATTATAATTTGTCTGTCTGTCAAGTGATAAAATACTTAACACTTACCTATTATTGCAGACAAGCATGAAGCTAAATTAAAAGGAGTAATATACTTTCAAGCCATTGAAGAAGTATATTATGATCACCTCAAGAATGCTAATAAGGTAATCATTGGTTTTCAGAGTTCTACAATTTGTTAAGTTGGAGGAAAAGATGTTTTTAAAATCCTCAGCAATTGTGATTTGTTGTTCTGACTTAATGGATACATGTGATCAGAATAGTGCTGGAAAAGTACACATAAAAGTGATTGGGACAGTCATCTTTTTGCAAAAAAAAAAGTGTCACAGTGAAGGTGAGGTGAGGTGAGGAAATACTCTGGACATACTGACTCAGGAGATCCTGCCAAGCAGCTGTGCTAGGCTTCTGTGAGTGAACTTCTACCCATCTATGAGAAGGATCTAGATGGAACTTAGCAAGGCTAAGGTTAACAGCTGCTATTTATGGAGCACCCACTATTAGTTCGATTCCCTACTAGAGCTTTATAAAGTAGCACTAATAAGAGGATTGTTGAGTTCTATGTGAGGTGCTTTTTTTGTGCAGAGAAGCTAGAAAGATGGTCAATCCTGAGAAAGCTGTTGGGGGTGGGGGCCCATGTTATAATAGAGCAAAAGCAATGCCTACACAGATTTTCATAAATTGGAACTTTTAAAGAAGAAGTAGTCTTCATATATATGTTATTAATGTTACAGTTCCAAGAAGTTTGTTTTATGCTCGTTTCCTCTTTTGATTTTTAGAGTCCTAATCCATCACTTACCTTCAGCGTCAAGACACATGATAGAATCTACTACATGGTGGCACCATCGCCAGAAGCCATGCGGATCTGGATGGATGTTATAGTTACGGGGGCAGAAGGTTACACTCACTTCTTGTTGTAGTGAACTGGTGCGATAGTCAACTTCAGGGCAGACTGCAATAAAATCCTTTCCAAGAATAAAGCCATATTCAATCCCAGATGAATAGACCCAACAGACCCATCCCTTTAACTATGTACTTAGAACTCCTTTCAGATGAAGGTTATATCCATGTGAAGTCATTTGTAAAAGACAAAGATGGTGTTTTAATTCAAAGTTTGATCATAAATAGCAGAATAATTGAAACACCTATGAGAAAACACTATTTTGATATATAGCATCACTTATAGGACTATTTCTTGTAAACTTTTTTATCAATTACTGATTTTGGTGAAATAAACAGTTTATCAAATGTCTGTATGTACTTGGAAATATGAAGTTATTTTAGCACACAAATCATTGGCATTGACATTATTGGTAATCAACTAACTTTTTAAAAAGGAACATTTTGCTGATGGTTATTATATAAATATAAGTAAATAAGGGTTTGGAGGGGAACATAATTTAGTTTGCCATGATTTTTAAGTACTACACCAAAACCAAAGACTTGAATTGACTTCTGTTTAATAGTAGTAATTTTAAGAGGTGAACTTCAGTTAGTATTACTCTACATTTTTTACAATGGTATTTTGATGCCATCAAGTGCCCAGGAAGTTGATTTGAAGAGTCACCAATAGTATAAGCTACTCTGAGTATACAGAAAACCACTTTTTGCAAAAGTAGGAAAAACAAAAAGCTATGTTTTAGAAAGAAGCAGTCTTAAGACAGCAATCTGTCAAACTGGGCAATTTAAAATACAGAGGCTAGTGTTAGTTGCTGAAGATTGCTTACAGCAGAGTTCTCCATTCCCGGTGCTAAGAATGAAGACAACCAGTAGCTGATTATTTTTTTTTTAGATTGTCTGATTTCTCTTTTTTGTGGAGCACAGACTCATCTGGTATAACTATGAAATAAGAGCTCTGTTTTCACCAAAGAACAGACCAAATAAAATGCTTATTTACAGAAGTGGTGTAGTTCTATTATAAGGAAAATGAAGTTCAACTTAATCTTCTCTCTAATGTACTACTTTATTATGTAGTTCTTTACCATTAGCCTCTGTTTTTAGAGTTAAATTAATTTTTGTTGAATGAAAATGAAATGACTTCAGGCAAGTCTCTATTATTATGGCTTTCATTTATTCTGCCTTGTCATGTGTGTGTTTGTAAGTATGTTCTTTCCTAAAACTTGGCAAATGAACAGGAGTAGAAAATAATGATGTTATTTACTAGTACAAGGTGAAATGATTAGATTAGAAGTATCTATAAAATCTTTGTCAGGCCTGACTGGGTACAATTTTTTTTAAAAAAACAAATTTTGCAGCGTGGTTTGTATACATGCATTCATGTATGCCAATAATAAGATTTTGCTACTGGATGACACACAATTTTACTTGAATAATGAAGGACAAAATCACAACAGAAGACATTTTATAATATGTTTTTGTGGAGATCACCACTAAACCCTATAGTGATCTAAGAGAATGAGATGCCATTCTTAAAATTTTGTTGATTAATGTAAAGATATAATTTTCTCTACTGTACTTTTTTCATAGAATTGTAAAGGTATTCTAATCAGCTTTATATCTTGCATGATGTAGTAAACTTTTAAATATATGTATTGAAATATGTTGAGTTTGGATTAAAATATTGACTAGAATTCACTTTTGAAAATAAACTCGTCTCTTCATTAGGAAGTTAACTATTGGTAGAGAAATGAATTAAAGAGCAAAGGTCAATTGTAGAATCTACATAAACGTTCTCATATGCTAAAATTATAATTTTTAGTTTGTTTACAAAATGAGAGAAACTTGATACATATTACTGTATTTTGCACACACCCAGGACTTTTCTTGGTGCTTCCTGAACTAAGGCAGTACATTTCAAAGAAAAAAACTGTTCTCAACAATATGTCTTTTCACCCCTGTAAATAAAAGGAACACTGACTGATGATTAGTTGAGTGGAGTGGAAACAAATTTGCTACAAGCCCATCATTGTTGGTAAACATCTTCACTTTATACTGGACACAATTTTTCCTGGTTTGTTAGACTGATAAGGGTGGATAGAAAATGGTCCCTGAAACTCCCTGATTTTTGTCAAGTGCTTTTCCTACTGCGAGGTCATCATACGTTTTCATTTTGCTGCAGTTAAAATGCAATGCCTGCAGAAATAAAGGGAAAGAACAGGGACAGAAGTGTTTGAGACTATGTGCAATTACCCAACGCAGAGGAAGAAATGTTTATTGCTATTATAAAGCATGGAGAAGGAACAGGCAGGTGGCAATATCGGCAATTTTGTCCCTTTGGAGTCTACAACAGGCCTAGTAGAGAAGTGGCCAGATTCAGCATCTTTTGGAATGTGCCCTGAAGTCAAGCAGTTATCCTTGGCTATCGCTCCCATTTAATTTTTCAGCATGTTCCAATAACACTGGCTCTCAAGACTCCAAAGATGGCTGGATTCACGTATTCAAACTTCATCTTTACTCTAGAACCAATCACTTCCAATATTTATCATCAAGTTAGTGAAGTGGTTTTACTTGGTTATACTAGCAAGAGTTAACTGTTAAGTAGAAAAAAAATACTAGATAAGAGTTTACTTGCTGTTTGAGACCCCAGTGTTACTTTTAAGAGTCAGTGCTAGAATCCAGAAATCCTTTTTTTCTTGTTTGTCTCTAAAATCGGTGCAGTAGACAATATTAATCCTTTTGAACTATTATTTAATACTTTGTATAGATGAGTGGTAAAATGGGGCCAGTTAATCAAAGGACATTGAAAATGTTGCAGGGAATGTAATTCTAATAGATTTGGCCAGATTACTTAACAATATATTTCAGCATTTCACCAATCACACGAGTACCAGTTTCCCAGCATCTTTGCCAATAGTTGCTTTTTATCATTTTTGCCAATTTGATGGGTGAGAAAAAATAGCATGTTATTTTAATTCATGTTTTTCAACTAGTGAGGTCGAATATCATTTACATTGTGAACCACTTTTTTACAGCCATTGGCCAATCTTACAGAATTACTTATTTTTCTTATTTCTAGGAGCAGGCTGAATAGAAGCATTAATGCTTTATCTATTGTGTAAAATCATTTTTTTCTAGACTCATTTCACTCAGGGTGGCTTTTGCCATTTCAAAAAGTTATAATTTGTAGTCATTTTACTTTTCATGATTTGGGGGCTTCACATCTTGCTTAAGATTGTCTGTTCTATTCTCAGACTATAAAATATTCCCTAAAATGTATTTAAACTCAGATTTATTCTTCCCTTGAGATTTTTATCTATTGAAATTAAATATTTTTGCATATAGCATGACATAGTGGTTGGAAGAATTCAAGAGTCGTGCATACAAAGAGCTAGAACAAAACGCATTAAAAAAGGGAGTGGGAGCTGCAAATGCTGGGTTCCACTCCAAGTATTTATACAAACCAGATTAAGGTCAGATCTTAAAAGTATTTACAGCACAAATTAAAATTGTCAGGGGGGCCTCCCTGGTGGTGCAAGGGGTTAAGTCTCAGCACTATGAAGCTATCCACAGCCACTGCAGCACAGTTTGACCCCTGGGCCAAGGAACTGCCCCACATGGCACAGCTGACCTCTCCTGTTTGCCTTCTGCTCCCCTCAGCAGTGTATTTTAGTAGATCTGCCTGTTCTGCTCCCCAGGTGTTGAATCCTCTCACCTCCCAACACCTCCACCTCTGGCCTACACCCCAGCTTTTTATGCATAAAAAAATAAAATCAATCTTAGAAAATAAATAAAAATAAAATTGTCAGGGGGTAAGAACCACTTGAAAAACAAGAAGCCTAGAATTTTATGCTTTCGCTTCTTAATATCCTCGGGATGATGAAGATGGTTTCCTATGTAGGAGCGTTGGATACAACTCCCCTCTGGCTTCCAGCACTGGGAGAGCCATCAGCCCACTGAGTAAGTATCTTGAAGGAGGCCACACAAAACATTCCAAAACATGACAAAAATCAACTGCCCAATAAGCGATAAATCAAGAGCCGGAAGCTCCGCGCACGCGCGCCCTCTGGTGTCCAAACGGTTTAAGAAGCTGTTAGCAAGTCCCACCGGCCTGCCGGCAGCGCATGCGCAGTCTCGGATGCTGGGCGTCTCCGTAGGTCACAGCGCGGCGCTAGGGCAGCTGGGAAGATGGCGGGTGTGGGCCTGGTGTCTGCGGCAACTTGGATGCCTTGTCGAGGGTGGGGCCGGGCGGCCGTGTCCTTCGGCTTCCAGCGCGGCCTCAGCGCATTACTTGAATTGAAACCGGATCGGGCGCCACGGTGGCTCCCAGGTCAGTGTCCTATAGGCGGGAGAAGGACGCGCTCTTTCGAACTTTCTGCGTTCCGTCTTTCCCTGTCCAATACGTTTTTTGGCGCCCCATTCAAAACTTCTCTTCACCCATTTTCAGTCCCGCAGTTGCAGGCGCCCTCGGCTCTTTTGGTGAAGGCTGGGAGAACTCTGGCGCGGCCTCCGGGTACCCTGGGCACCCCGAGCCCTTGCTGGCGTTGTACCTCTGCAGTTGAAGGATCCTGCCCTCTGCTTGTCTCCCGTACATGAAGGACAAACACTAGGAAAATTTAAGATGTGCATTTAACGAGTTTGATTACTAGTTGTTTTTTCTTTCCATGCGACTCTAAACGCTTTGCAGACCGTGACTCTGTTAAGGTACTTAGATTTGCTTTCTCTTGAGAGCATTTACAGTATGAACACGTTCTTTGTGAAAGTATTGAAAGTCATCAAGCATAATTTCTAGTTTTGTCTTCTCGATTCTCTATTACAGTGAAACCATAATCACTACTCTGCAAAGGAAACTAGCGTTTGGACCAGAAATCAGAGCACCTGGATAGTTTATTTAGTGTGTGTGTGTACATTTGTATATAAACACACACATATATATATACACACATTTCAGAGAAAAGATTACTGCCATTTAGCAAGGCAATGGAAAATTACTTCTGCACTAATCAGTTGACGCAAATGCCAAATATATGTATGGTCTGTTTTTCTGAATTCAGATCTTTTAGTTTTGTTGTGTTCACACCCTTGCCATGCTGTTGGGATGGTGATGAATGTCGTACAAATACGCTTTATGTTGAGTTTTGAATTTTAAACATGTAATCAGTTTAATTCGAATGTAATTATGCACAACCAAAAGACATGCCATATATGAGCAGCTCTGGCAGAACAAACTTGTTTCTGTCTCCCAGACCCAAAAGTAGAGGATGTGAAAACTCCTCAAATATTAAAAAAATTAAAAGACAAAGTCTCACTAGAGAGCACTGAAGTTAGAGTAGGTAAGTCTGAGTGTTGACCCATGGTATCAGTCGTGTTGACTAGACGACCGTTAGGATAGATATAGCAACAAGAAAACATTTTTGATAACTCCCCATCTTCCCTTTCCTTGAAATTTACTCCTCATGTCTAATTTGGAAGAATCAAGATTAGACCCTGCTGAATTTGACATGATTTTAAAATATAAAGGTTTGTGGCTTTATACTTATCTGTTTTTGTTTTTCCTATTAGATAGAAATAGTATTTGACTTCAATTTAGTGAGTTAAAGAAGTTACTATTGAAAATATATGTGGTTTTCAAAAAACTGTACTTGCAAAATATAGTTTATGTTTTGTATGTTTTGTTTAGCTTGCAGACAAAAGACATCACTCTCTTTCCTTAGTCGACCAGACCTTCCAAGCCTGGCTTATAAGAGGCTAAAAGGCAAAAGTCCAGGAATTATCTTCATCCCTGGCTATCTTTCTAATATGAATGGTACAAAAGCATTGGCTATTGAGGACTTCTGTAGATCTCTAGGTCACGCCTATATAAGGTAGGAACAATACATTTCCAAGAAAATATTGCTGCCATTTAGCAAGGCAATGGCAAATTACTTATGTTCTAATCAGTTGAAGCAAATGCCAGCACCTTTATTCATTAATTTATTTTAATGGTCTGTAACTTTTGTCTTAAATTAATTTAGGGTTCTTGTAATCCACCCTTTGGGGACTTAGGCAATTATTTGACCACTGTTTATATCTTATTTTCAAAATATGTACTTTAAAATAATATGTATTTTTTAAACATTGTAAAATTAATATTGTGCAGTTCACCTTTCCACTGAATTTTCTCTTTCCGCTCATTTCTGAAATCTGAATATGTATAAGCATAAATAAGAATATGTGTTAACTGAAACTTCATTTCACAATATTTCTTAAACTTATTTTGGTAAAATGACATTTTTATATTTGTACATTTAACATTATTTATTTTATACCTAATTTGCCAGGAGAGATAGTATAGTTTAGTAGAAGAACCCTGACCCAGAATTCGAGAAACGTGGAATCAATCATAGCAGTGACTGCGATAAGATAGGTCATTTATTAAACACTGGACCTATTCTTTTTCATCAATAAAAAGGAGGTTAAACCAAAGACAGTTTGTGAATTCTTTTCTAACACTAACGCCTAAAAATCTATCTAGATTTCTAGAAGAGTAATTTCACTTAAAATTTCTAAAAAATATAACTATCATAAAACTTAGACTTTAAAGATAATTTTGATACAGCCCTGTATTTGAGGACTTTTAGACTCAACAACAGTGTCCTAGCAGTCTCAATACCCGCAAAGTCCCAAATCCCAAATTTGAAATTCTGTTAGGAATAATTGAGAGAATACCAGCCCTAAAACTTATGTTTTACATTCCTGACTCTAATTCTGTCTTATTTTCGGCATTAAAAGGGATATTAAAAAACCATTTTCATTCAGGCATATATGTACCATAAGTTTGTTAACTTAGCTGAAATTATGTCAATTATATGGATTGAAGGTTATTTCCCTTTTACCAAGTTAACTGAATTCACTTTCATGTTAGAATTCTTAAAAACTGTTTTGACTTAATTAATTGTGAAGACTAAAGTAATTTTTGCAATTAGGCTTTGTAGTCACTCTACTAAGGATCTTTTAATACGGGTGGGGAAACACAAGACAAAAATCATGATATGTTAAGCAGAAGGACTCAGCAGAATGTGACTGTGTCAAAAGAGTGGTAGTATACTTAATTGTGTGAGGAGAGAAAGTAAATCTATACCTTTAAACCATACAATGTTGTGAGCTAATGTTACCACAAAAAAAAAAAAAAAAGACGAAGAAGACTTTATAAAGGGACAGTGAAAAAGTTTGGGTAAAAAGGAAGAACAATCCAGCTAGAGGGACTGCCCTAAGTAAAATATAATAGAAATATAGTCATCATTCTTCCTTTTTGTCCCCCAAAAGAATTTGAATAGAGAAATCACCATTTTACCAGTTCCTGAATTTAAATGGAGGCTATGAAAGCTAAAATCAGTTCCTAACTCCCTAGAAGATGTGCGTTTTTTGCATTTTGGATGCATATGAAATACATTTTCTTTTTAAAGGTATGTTAAATACTCATTAAATCATAATGTGCTTGGACTATTTAGTGGTACTATGTTAATATGTAAAATGTCTAGGCCTTTACTACAAATTTTAAATTTAATAAGGTTCCTTTTTATTTGCTCTTGTCATTGCAATCTAGTCACTATTGATTGCCTTTACTTCGTTATAAGAGATTTTATCATCTGTTTATATTCTGTTTCTTTACTTTCATTACGATTTTGGTTATAAAGTTTAGATCTTGAGTGAGGAAATGATCAGTTTTGTCCATTATATAAGAAAAGGTCCAAACAGCTGTGTGAAAATGGTTTCTAATGTCCTGTGACCATGCCTAAAATAAGGTAAAGTTAGAATTTAGGAATATGATTTGTGTTTTTAGGGCTGGTATTCTCCCATTTCTAATAGAATTTTAAATTCTCGAGTTGGGACTGTTGAGTGTATTGAGAATTCTAGGATAGTGACTCTGTGTCTAAAAGTTCTCAACTGGTGGTTGTATCTGAATTATCTTTGTGTCTTGTGTGGTTAGTGTTCAACAAGAATGACATATTTTTCACTTGTAACCTATTCATATTATTAAATGTTTGTATTTTCCTTAATGAAAGGGTTCTCTATGGATTTTGCATGACTACCATATATTTGGACGGCAACTATAAAAAATGCAGCAAGTAGAGGTGTCTGCCCACTCAGGGGAGAGCAGGGAGGAAGTATTAGCTGGTCTCTTTCCTTCTCTTTCCCTGGTCTGTCATCTGTTTCCCCTGTGATTTAGACTACAGCATTTGTCTTATTACCCTGTTTTCTAAGGATTCAAACTCAGTGCACTTAATACTTAAAAAAGAAAATTGAAATTTCACTTTTCTTCCCTCACTTATCAGTCTCTTATCTCTAAGAAAATAGTTGCATGCTATATGTCACATGTATTCTTTCATATACACTGAAAACACTAGGGTTTATTTTCATCAGATTTTAAGAATCAGAAAAACATGAATGCTTTGATTTTTGCTTTCTACTTCTCTTAATTTGGTATGTATTATAATAGTGTGTGAGGTTCGCTTGTTAGCCACCATGAAGAATGCAGAGGCAGAGAAGATAACAGCATTCCCTTCCAGGATCTTACACTCTCACAGGAATCATATACACACAGAAAAACTATCTTATAGCACAGGGTATAATAAATTGCTTGTGACTGATAAAAATGAATTCACTTGAGAGAATTTTTTTATTTACCTATCCAAAAAAAAAAAAAAAAAAAAAAAAAACCATGTCTGTTGTCTCAGCAACACCACACTGATAAACGGAAGCCATGGAGCAGGCTACCCAATGCAGGATGCTGCCGAATGAGCAAGATCCTGGCCTTTTTATTGATAGACTAATCATACAGCATCAGTTACATGGGGTAGGAGGACAAAGAGAAAAAAGTTGGGTGAAACTGAAAATGTTTATGTCATCTAGGGCTTCAGAGAAACATGAGTCTGCTGACCAGATAATTCTTATCTGCTTGATGACCAAGTGTTGTAATCAAAACCATACCCCAGGGCCTCCCCGGTGGCGCAGCGGTTGAGCGCTGGGTTGCGAAGCTGCCCGCGGCCTCTGCGGCGCCGGTTCGATCCCCGGCTGCTCCCCGGCCACCTGAGGAGGGTCCCACATGGCGCGCAGACCTCTCCTGCCGCCCGCTGCTCCCCTCAGCAGTGTGCTTCCTTCCTTCTGCCTGCTCTGCTCCCCGCTCTGGCTCTGGTGAATTCTCTCACCCTTCCGCACTTCTGACTGTACCCAGTGCATGTATAAACAAACCAAACAAACAAATAAATAAATAAATAAAGCATGCCTCTATTAAAAAAAAAAAAAAAAAAACCATACCCCAGACCCCTGGCCTTGGTTCCAATCTTATCAATGAGGCATTCCGCTAATCAGCTTCTGGGCCCCTTGTTATACATCAGTCAACAACCCCCCACCCCCAACTCCACCCAGGGTGTTCCGGGTCATACCTCATGATGCAGACCCTTCCCAGGGTGATCAAGCTTTCTGCTCTTCATTGATTTGAAAGGTACCTTGTAGGGTTGGGCTCCTGTAACTGATTGACTGGGCAGTTCTGACCTTGTGTAAGAATGCAGAACTGCAGGTAACAAAAATGATGGCCAAACAGGGCACTTAAGTCTAGCACGCCCACACGTTTCAACTAAGCTCTAAGAGAGGTTAATAGTAAAGAAGATGAGACCAGGTATTCCAGGTAAAGGAAATAGTCTGAGGCTTAAAACAGGCAAAAAACATAAACCCTATTTCAGAAACAGCACTTTCATTAGTTTGGCTAAAGCCGCAGTTTCCTCTGGTGAAATGATAAAAGATCCGAGATGACCAGACCACAGACAAGTAATCAAATATATAATATCAAGTAGCAGTATTTGCTAGGAAGACAATAAACCAGGATAAGGAAATAAAGATGAAGTGTAATTTTAATCAGGGAAGCCGTCTCAGGGGGATGTACATTTGAGCCAAAGGCCTGAATAAAGTGAGGGGAACAAGCTAAGTGGGTACATGGAGGTAAAATATTTCCTATAGAGGGAAAAGTTGATGTGAAACTCCTGAGATGGGAATATGGGTGGTGTATTTCATGAACTTCAAGAAGGAAAGTGAGGATATAGGGAAGGAAGGAAGTAAAGTAAGAAACGAAATCAGAGACCTAGAAGTCAGAGTATGATTTATTTTAAAATGTGGATTTTTATTTTAAAAATTTCTATTTAAAAATAGAAACCCTTTGGTGGGTTTGTGCAGGACATGGTTTTTGTTTTAAAAGAATCGCTGAACTGAACACTGCATAAAGAATAGACTACCATGGTGAAAAGTGGAACAGGGAGACTTACTAGGAGACTGTGTTCATCCAGGTGAGAGTGGATAGTCACTTGCTCCACTCTGGGAGCAATGGAGAGGTGATAAGTGAGCACACATCCTGGGGCTATTTTAAGGCTAGTTCAGTATGCTTTGCTGAAATAAATACTAACTTAAGTGTTTTATTTTAGTGTATTTTGGGCATTAAAATGATGATGAAAGTGCTGTCTTCCTTTAAAATCACAGAAACAAATATAAATATAGACATTTCCCTTTTTCCAGGTTTGATTACTCTGGAGTTGGAAGTTCAGATGGTAACCTACAAGAAAGCACAGTGGGAAAATGGAGAAAAGATGTTCTTTCTGTAATTGATGACATAGCTGTAGGACCACAGGTGACCATTTTTGTTAAATATGGCGATACTAATTAACCACACGATATTGAGCTGTTTCTTTAGATATGAAAATTTATTGAGGATTTTAAATGTTTAACGATCAATTTTGATGTTTGATTTTAACTTGTTCTCATTTCACATTCTCAAAATGTAAGTAGCACTTTACTTTTTATTTTACAAATTTTATTTTTATCATTGAAATGATAAAAATCACTTTAATATCATTAATATTAAAAGTCTGGTAGCCAGTGGATATAAAAGGGGAAAAAGTTCATGTAGTCTATTAAATTACTCTCCTTAGAGACAAGAAAAATCATCTTTAAACTATATAATTTTTATTTTTAGATACTAGTTGGGTCTAGCCTTGGTGGATGGCTTATGCTTCATGCTGCAATTGCAAGACCAGAAAAGGTGGTTGCTCTTATTGGTGTAGCTACAGCTGCAGATGGCCTGGTGACACAGTTCAAACAGCTTCCTGTTGAGGTAAGTCTTAGGCAGTCTCAGTGTATATATCCTCCCTCCCTCCTTCCTCCCTCTTTCTTTCCCTGTTCATGTGTCATTTAACCTTTGATTCATGATGCTGTTCCTTCTTTTGTCTTACTTGCCTTTTGATATACAATCTCTGCCTTCTTTAACTATCTGGTCTCTCATTCAAGGTTCCTTTTCTTCACAGTCCCTGTACTAAATCACTTTGCCAAATATTTGAGCCACATTATGAAATCACATTTTCTTTTTTTTTTTTAAAGATTTATTTTTATTTATTTATACAAGCACTGGGTACAGTCAGAAGCGTGGGAGGGTGAGAGAATCCACCAGAGCCAGAGCGGGGAGCAGAGCAGGCAGGACCGAAGCACACTGCTGAGGGGAGCAGCGGGCAGCAGGAGAGATCTGTGCACCATGTGGGACCCTCCTCCTGTGGCCGGGGAGCAGCCGGGGATCGAACCGGCGCTGTGGACTGCGGGCATCTTCGCAACCCAGCACTCAACCGCTGCGCCACCCGGGAGGCCCTTATTTTTCTTTTTTTAAGCAGAATTTTCTTTGTTAATCACATTTATTTATTTGAATCATCATCATCATCTCTTTATGCTTCTTATTTGTAGCGTATGAGAAATAGTACCTATTCTTATGACTATGTTAGACTTGGTTGATCAATTATGAAACTTTTTTTAGCCTGAAAGCAGCTTCAAATTCTCTCTCTGCAGAGCTCTGCCAGCACACACTCCAGTGAATCAGAATTAGCACACAGGAGATGAGTTACCATTCCTTGCTTGAAGATTTAGTTGGCATTCTTTTTTACTCCTAATTACACCTTTAAAAAAAAAAATTTTCTTTTAGTCACTGGCGTGTTCTTTAGCAAATGATATTTACACAAGAGGTTTCTGAAATAAATTGGAATGTAATTAGTTCATTATACTTCATTATTAGACGTGTGTTTAAGCACTTCAGTTCTCTGAAAAAAAATAATGGATAGTAGCTATTTTTGCGTGGGTTCCCCCCCACCCCACCCCACCCCACCAATCAGTTGAGTTCTACTTGACTGTCTTTTTTCCTAGGATCTAGGTATCACTCATGGGACAAAGATCCTGACATACCTTAGGCACAGAATATTAAAGAAAGAAAAGAAGTCTAGAGGAGTGGTTCAGAACAAGTATTCGCAAAGCCTCAGCGTTAGCATTGCCTGAGAACTTGTTAAAAATGCATGTTGTTGAGCTTCACCCAAGAGCATCTGAATTGGAAACTGGGAGTTATGGCCCAGCTAACTGTTTCAACATACACCAATTCTTACCCGCCCCCCATTTCAAAATGTGGAAGAGCAGAATAAAGAGGAGGAAAATAAATAAAATGAAGGGAAAAAAGCATACATGTGAGTAGTACAATATTACTGAGTTTTACCTTAAGTTCTGCGTTGATACCAGTGCAGTATATCATCTAAGTTTATTCTTAGTTCACATTGTTCTTTCCAACACTGTAAGTAATGACATTGTCTGCATAGTCATTCCTCTTAAGATTTTTTCTCAGAGCTAAAATTACATAGCTGGTCTCAGTTGCAGTTATCAGCTATTTGTTTTTTATTTGTTTCATTTTCTTTTCCTTGTTATTTCTCATACATGGTTCTCGGTGTCCTCATCTGCTAAATTTTCCTACCGTTAGTTGCATATTTCTGCATCTAAACTTTGGACTCATTACTCCATCATCTAGCTCCATAATAATTGTCAACTCTTTTGGTAGGAAATGTTTTCAGGAACATGGACAGATTGGAAAGGGGTCAAAACAGTTTTTCTTAGTTGTTGGTAAAGGACAAGATCTCTCTCTTTTTTTTTTTTTTTTTTTAAGTGTGTAAGACTGGTAGATATCTCTTAACTAACAAAGAAGATGTGTAAGCCTAAAATCATCGCATATCTTTGCTAATCCTAAA